TTCTCGTCTACCAAACGATGAAAAACTGGCCTGAGTGATACTTTTATTGAAAATATATAGTAAGAGTCCTTGCCTTGCTTCGACGTCTTCCTTTAATATCTCATTCGTTTGGTATTCCAGCCGTTTCTCCCGTTCCTTGTAATTTAATTTATTCGAGCTCAATGATCTTCCAGGTTGAATCCAGTTCTGATGATGGAGATTTTTTTCTTCTGTGGGCCATTCTGTTGCGTTTTTGTGTTTATGTGTGGGGAACTGTCCTTTGACAATACTTTCCATCATCCCTGGGGTGTTAATACTCGGTACGAAAGAATTCTGGCATACTTTTCCTATACCCAAATTGTACGGTCAGATCCACGAGTCGTTCTCCACCATTTCACAGAGATCGTGCCATGAGTCCTAACTCATATAATGGCATGAGACCTAACCTTCGATTTTTTAATTGTTTTGTCAATATTTTAATGTGGCCTTTTTCAGTATTTCACTGTTTGATACATAAGCATTAAGCATCTATGCCAAAACGCTTGCATTTACGGTAGTAAACGTGGTGGAAGTGGTTACTTGTTCCTTTCATGACGATGAGATCCTCCGGTGCTACCTCATCTAGTATTTCCGTCAGTACATAGGCGAAAGTCTCAGCACTGTATTTCGCTGGAGTGGTACCGGTGTCAATTTCGATTTTAATTTTCATTACCCATTGCCTTCCCTAATTGTTATTGATCAATATTTCTGAGATTCTATTCTATAGTTATTTATCTATCCTTGGTTCTATAATAATCATTTGAATCACTATGGAGTCCATCTTCCGGAACTGGCTAGTTAGTGGCTCGTGTGGCTAGATTGGCAGAAACTATCGCCACATCAATGTGTGCCTCTGAGAAAACTTAGGTTTTGTTTGGATAGGCTAAGCCAAACGTATTGTAACCTCTTACTTTGTAACAGCTGTTACGAGGGCTAGTGAATGATAAATTGGCCAGCCACTTCCCAATGTTTATTGTATTGCTTGTTTTGAATAAATGGCACTCGGTGACTAAAGAGTTGTGCTATACCTTCCGGTGAATTGCTTTGGTTCGAGTTTCTTTGATGCGATTATAAAAAAAAACAAAGGATATGTAAATCTAGGTTTGGTTAGGCATTGAGTTGTCCGCCGGACAATGTCCGGTACAGTAGAAACGAGTACAATAGTCAATCATATGGTGATTGAATCATAAGTTTTAAAAATCTGTTTATGAAAATTGAAAACACGCCAACGCCAAATCTTGTAGGCCCGCCGTTAAAATCTAAATGATATAATATTAATATGATGCCATTAATTTTATGGGAAAATTATTTATTACAACGTACTGCCGTTATAAATTATAAATTTATAAGGTTTCCGATATTTCATAAAATAATATTTTTTTAGTAATACTGATTACGAATAAATTTATTTCATCTCAGCCTTCTATTTTTATGTTAACACTTATAGAAATGATGTACCTTAAACTAAATTTCAAGTATTATTTTTTAATTTAATGTATCGAATATTACTCTAAAAACAAATACCAGATTAATGATTTTGAATAATCCTGTGTAACAATATTTTGATTAGTTGTCTATACAAATGTAATGAATCATTATATAATATATTATGCGGTTGTCATCACAGCTGTACTCATCATTAATAATTAATATATTTTTCTATCTATAGGTACCTATATAGATATATATACCTCCTAGTTTAATTTTATAAATGTAAAATGTATTTTAGTACCTATTTACACTCCAGTAGACTATAGGCTTAAGCCTAATATAGTAGTATAACTAGTACCAATAATAAATAGTATATTGTACATATATGCAATATTTAAATTAAAACCATTGAGTTTGCTTGCCATTGAAGTTCATAGAAATACATAAAATATGTCAAGGATTAATATCCTATTTAATAGAACATAGTATAATACATAAAATATAGCCACATAGATAGGTAGGTACATCAATACTCGTAATTTATGCTAACGGGTATATGTCGGTATTAATTGTTTAACTTCAAGACATTCTTTTTAATATGCCATGGCCCATGGCCCTTGAAATATACACTATATAATGATTGTAGATTTGCAACAAACTTAGATTCTATTATAAAACATGAATTTAAATTATAATAACAATGTATAGGTATTACTAATACTAAATATATTTAAAATATAGTAATTCATAATAATATGAATATTATACATTGTAAGTATACTCATATAATTTGATAAGATTTGATAATCTTAAATTTGATAAGACTTAAAATTCATCTGGTGTATCAACAAAAAAAAATTAAGAACATCGATTTTGTTCAAAGAAAGTATTAATATATTATATATTATTGATTTTATTATAATTTCGTAAATTATAATTTTTTTTTTGTCTAACAATACATATAGTAACTTTAATTCTCAATTTATGATGTGTGTTAACAGAAAATATTCAATACACGACTATGAACCAGTGTAAGTAATTATTATATAATGTTTAACATAAACGATAAACGTTCGGGTTATATAGTTGAAAATTAGTAACACCATTAATCAACGGATTTTGTCAATACTTATAAAAAAACGAAACATATTTTATGTCTTTATAGTCTTCATATAAGTATAATATATTAGTATATAATATATGCTATGGATATCGAATTATATACAGTGAACCTATTTATATATAATATATTTCTACACAGATAAATTCCATTAGCAAATAGCGAACATTGGCATAAGCTATTCATTTTGCTATCATTATTTTAATGTAACGACGCAGATTATATCCACTGCAGTAGCCTTCTAGGTAATTTTATGGGGTGACACATCTCCATTAGTCGTAGAAATTTTTTTTTTTTGTCAGACAGTGAGTATTTATTTATCCTCGTTTCTCATAATTTCTATTATTCTAGTCTGGCGCTACTGTCATCCGCGGACCACCATACACTATTATACGTAACTATGAATAATGACATACCTACTACAATCTAAGGTTTGGCGCCATCGAATAAAAAACTGACCCACGGAATTCAATAAAGAAAAAAATATATGATCAGAAATAAATATATACGAACAAAAATACTTGTAACTAAATTGCATTTTTTTTTCTGCGGTAAAACGATACTTCCCTCCAAGTAAAACCGGATAAGGACAACTACGGACTACCTATAATATGCACCTTTATATTATTATTATACATGTATTATATAGTAATAATTATTATTGTAGGTATAAACACTAAAACACGTCACACCTCAAACTCTTATTGTACATACGAATATTAAAAGACGAACAATTTGAATTTATAAATTTCATCTTAATCGTCTAGACGCATATTAAAGTAGCAGGAATAATCACGAAAAGTGGCTTCAGGTGGCATTGTAAATTTGTTCTTACAAAATGTATACCTTAAAATACATAGGTACTTTGTTTTTGGTAAAAAACAGTATAAAATAGTACTGAGATACAATGATAAGATTAGTACAATAATTATTAGTGAAGATTGCTCAAACGATTTGCTATATAGTTTATCATGACGTATCTACTAATAATATTAAGAGATTTTAAAATGTTTATGCAGGCAAACACTCTGTGTCTATAGCTTATTTCGTGTCTTTTTTATTCTATTACCACCTAGCTTACATAAAGGGTTACAGGGGTTATATATATCAATATAATATGTATCGTAATATATCGTAATATCTCGTATTACAAGTTTAGTGTCCCTTAAATACTTTATAAAAGTTCCGTATTTTGGAACATCTATATTTTATAAAAATATTTTTTACCGATTTAAAAAAACTAAATTACAGTCATTAATTATTATTTATTATCAACAAATTTATAAAACAATATATATATAATTTTTTTAAAACGATTTTTGAGTCTTAAAAGATAATATGTTGGGTTGAAAAGTAAAATAGGAAGTATAGTGACTTAAACAGAATATGAACAAATTAGAATGCATATACACCTCAACATCCTCATTCTTCAACAGCTATCACTTATCAACCTAATTAATAATATAAAAATGTTAGGTATTCAAGTAGGTAAGTATAAATAAAGATTAACTCCGTAAAGATTAATATTGTTCATGTATTTTCAATGGAAGTAAGAATATCTATCTTATTAAATATTTCATAATTTAATTTATTAATGCGGTCTTACAGCCGCACATATACGCTATACATATAAACATTAAGCAAATTTTAAAGTTGCATTTTATACTCGAGTATTATTTCTGTAAAATCAAAAATCATAATTTAACTATAGGATTTTTATGTTTTTTTTTCAAATCAAACGTCCCTATACAATGCACGTATAAACTTTCCACACAATTCGTCGAAACGGCTAAAACGAAACAATAATAACTATAAAAATATTTTTTTTTTATCCATAACTAAACACCTATTGAGCACATACTATTTTGTACGTATGCCTATTGCCTATACATAAGACGATATTGTAAATTATAAATTTGCCGCGGTCGGCAACGAACGGCTATTTCGCTTACGACGGGGTGGTTTTATGTTTACGCATACCATATACCTCTATATACTATATAGTATACATAAAATATAATATTCTGGGTGTATGCGGCCAGTCCGTTGTTTAACGCCTACACATAAACAGGGTGCTTTCAAAAATAAAATAATAAATCCGGGGTAAGCATGCTTGGTAAAACACCCTGTATATATATGTGGATATTATACGTGTAGAAAATGAAAAAAAAACTCTCTATCGGCATGCACACAGGACCCCGACGAGACTCGTATTATTATTATTATTATTATTATTATTATTATTATATATACCTTTTTCATACCGTTCTGACCCGCCACCGACCCGTTCCGAATGAGTGGTGAGTATTATATATATTATTTTATTATCATTATTATATGTGTGTACGGTTCGTGTTGTGTGTGTGTGTGTGTGTGTGTGTGTGTGTGCGTGTATTGTGCGCGCGGTGGGTGTGTATATGTGCGCGCAGTTCGGCTCTTCTAGCTACGCGCGCCGTACGTGTCGTAAGAGTATGGTCCGACGGTCCGCCGAGTAAACCACGACACCGACACGAGGACGTACCTCTAATATTATTGCTTAAAATATAATATTATGTTATTTAATACCTATTAAGTTTTTTACTGTGCTGTTTACCGTATGATCGCGCAGCAATCGACCAGGATATTCGACTCGTATTTTATCCTGCTCCTGTCGTCGTCGTTGATATCTTTAAGCCATTATAATCATAATTTTTTTTGAATCGGTATTGATCGAGTATTAATCAAAAGCTTGTCGTTTTTCGTTTGCGGTTTTTTTTTTTAATATCGTTCGTCCCGTTTCTTTTTCCGCCGCGTCCGTTAGTTTGTTCTCAACGATGATAATGTGATACGACAAACTTCTGCGACTAGTTACACTTAAGGTATACTGTATACAGTTGAGCATCAAGACTATCGAAGATTTGCACAGGTACATTATAAATTATCATAATTATTTATTAATTAATGATACTTGCAATTTTTTTTTTTTTGAAGTTCGAGAAAACTCTTCTCTAATTTATTATAGTTTTAATATACACTAAATAAAAATAAAAAGACACTAAGTGAATTTTAACTGCTCATACGTGACTGGAGTTTCAAGCAACATTTAAAAAAGCAGTTGACAATACTGAATACATCCATGTATTATTATACTGACAGTAAAACTTATTAGGTAGTAGGTACTAATACATATATTGTATTAATATATTGCCCGTGTGAATTTTAATTTAAACAGAAATAACTTATTAATGAATATAATATATAGGTGTATAGTATTAAATATAGTTTAAAACTAAGCAATATAATATTGATTATATTACATCGAGTATCTCTTGTAACAAAATGTTTGTTACCTAATCGCGTATGTACTGCAATGCTATAATGCAGGTTATACCGACTAATCCGACGATTTTACTTAAAACTTTCAAACATTCATTTTCCTAGCTTTAAGACTCACAGCCAATCTTATGGTTAAGTCATAGACCAAAATAGACATCGTGAATGGTGTTGGTTATTTGTTCGACATGTTTGTATTGATCGTATCGCGAAGTGGTGAAAGTTTTGATGCCTCTTGATTACGATGACAATAATAATTATTAATTAAAAAAAGATATGGGTATAGAAAAAAACTAGGATATATCCTCCGGATGCTATATAATAAAGTATAAGTCTACAAGGCGCAGTACATAGGTACATAAATATGTACGATAGTCATCTAGATTTATTTTATGTCTATTGAAAACATCCCGAGATGAGAACGCGTTAAACGAGACCATAAATTTTATCGTTTTTTCCAATTATAATATAATAATTAAACGCATAACCTATGTCCTATTATACCTATACATTAATATTATATACATTTCTTCTGGTTACAGACATGCGCTCAAGGCGATTGATGCACACGTGCTACGGCTGCAGAAGTCGGTAGATCGAAGTATTGAACACCCCGGAGAAGAATGACACGTCAATTACCGTCATGAACTTTCATTCAGTCGCTGAGCTATTGCCATGGATGTTGTTGTTATTTTCCTCGACCGGCTTCGCGTCTACCGTCCCAAACAAGGTGAGACGCTCGATTTTATTCTTACTACAGCACTCATTACACTAAAACAAATTCGTTTAGCGACTAGCGTTAACCCAAAAACAATGTAGTATTATAAATTATAATATAAAATAGCAAGTCTTCAAAAAACGTAGAGTATAGTTATATTTGTAGTCAAACATCCAGATTCATAATGAGACTTTTCGATGTGTTGATACCCTATATTCGTTTAGCATAATTGCTATCACAATATTTTATACACTAAAAAAACAAATTTACCCAAATATCTATCTCACTTGGAGTTAATTATAATCAAAAGATTAGTAAATATATAATATCTCACTCCAAAGTTTTCAGTCCGGTTGTACATAAGATACAACACCCCCAGTTAAATGCTAGTATACATATTTTATAACTAGGTTAATTATTATCCACGTTTCGTCTTTATACTCGACTGTATAGTATTATTGTATTGAATGATTTTTGGAGAGAAAAAAAATATACCCTCGAGGATCTCGGTTCAGAGGCGGCACATTGTCTGGCACGTCTTGAAATAGTTTTTATGAGGTCGATTATTAGCTGGGCGTGTCTCAAACACCTTTTCATTTATAAGCCCTCGGGTGAAAAAAAACCATATACATGAGGTATGAGAAAAAAACATTGGTGCCGGCTAGTCTAGGGTTGACTTCACAATACTATCGGCACACCTGGCTCTGCAGAGCGAGTTGTTTATGGAAACCCATTATTTATTTGTATCGAGTGTTATGTACCTATACATACAAGTTATCGACAATCTTTCAAAATAATTGATGTCAATTAATTTGCGTTTTATAATAAATATAATATTTTATTGGCGGATATAGATTAAAAAAATAGAATATACATTTAAAATATAATCAAAAATTAATACAGTTTACAAATTACTATAGTAACTACTCAATAGTTAACCATACATCGTATATAACTAATTTATAAGTAGACACCTGTGGATTATGAAACTAATTCTGAAAAAAATAATACCTATAGGTGCATATTATACTCAGAAAATGACGTATTAATTATTAAAATTACAAAAAAACTAATGCATGTGAAATACAGGTCAATAACTGTTTAAATGCAAAATATAGGTATTATAATTATTTATCTCTATCCTCATTATTTATAATATTGTCTTCATTTTTAATATTGCAAACAATCGCACTTTCACAGATGATATACAATAGTATTAAATCAATATCGACTGTAATAATCGTAATAGTATAACCACTCTCAAAACTAATAAATAAAACCGAATGAGTTCAAAATATAATTAACAATTAGTTATTTTGTCTCCATTTCATGCTGGTTAATAGTCCTATATATTATAATATATGATTATAAATATGATGTAAAAATTCGCTCGAAGTACATGATATTTATATTAATATGGTACTTGGCCACTGGGGCAATAGCATATTACAGGGATGTTAATTTCCTTCTCTGGGACAGTTTACGGTAATACTCCTACTAATTTTTATAAAAATAATAAATATTCTTTTATGTACGTCTATTATTGTTTTATAAAATATCATGATAACAATTAAATGATAAATCAAAATCGTAAATACTTCACAAAGAGTACACTTCATTAAACTAACGATGTTGAGAGTAGACTTTTGATATTTTAAGTATTAAAAATTACAATTTTAAAGCGTTGTACATGTAATAAACATTAGGTATATAACTTGTAAGAATATGTAAGGAAATACAATTTGCATTCATCCCTACCTTAATAATCATTAGCAATCAAATTCAAATACTAGTGTGCACTCCAAAAAATCAGAAAAAATAGCCAATGGAGTGATGACTTATGACTATAATATCATATATAGACACAATTATAACTACGCGTTGAACTCACCACGCGCGCAAAAAAAAAACTTGCCTACATAAGATTTTGTCTTCGATAAAAATATTCTACATTTCTAAACAATAAATAGATAAGATATAAAATATACTCGAAAACCAGTTTTCGTCCGAATTCCTATACAATCGAATCCGTTTGCAGGATGTTATCGTTTTATATGTACAACGATTTTCCTGTGCCACACATACGTATTAGGTGGGTATCCAGGATCCCTCCCGTCCTTCCATGTAACGCACATATTATTATTATTTATTATCATTATATTATGAGTGTTCGAGTATACTTATGTTATATACATTTATTGAACGTCGCCGCCGTTCTTCCGTTAACCTTTTTGGTATAGCTGGTAGGTACATATTATATTATAATATTGTCTCCGCTATATGGACGTTGGCCACTGCATTATACGTGTGTGTTTAAAACGAAGACGAAATGCGGTGGCGAGTAAAATTACAATGGAAACCTTTGAAAACCTGTGTTGTCGTATGTATCACAAGCCATAACCTTGAAAAAAAAATTACAACCATACGCGCGTGCGCGCACACACACATTTATGTGATATTTATATATATATATTATACGTTTATAATATTATTGCTCTCGAAGAGATTATCCAAATCGGTCGAAGATGAAAAAAAGAACATGTAATAAATCTCTTATACATATAGGTATACGGTGTGTCAGTGTATCCAATTCGAATAGTGCATTTATATTTTATAAGTGGACCCAAATAAATCACCACCACAGAAGGAATAAACATCCGTTACGACTTAAGACAGTGAAGCTGTTGTATAGGCATCTAGTATTATTGCGACTTAATAAAAAAAAAACGATTCGTTTGTTGAATTTGAATCTATACTTACATATTTATATAGAGGTATGTATAAATTCAAATAATCAAATTATTGACTCCTCAAATCTACTGAAACAATCGTATTTTGCAATATACCTACGTAACCATACAATTATCATAGTAAAATTAATAAGTCCTTCAAGTAACATCATGGTTTTTAAATTATATATTTTAATATTAAGATTCATTTATTGATATAGGTATAATTCTTAATGGCCTCGGTTTGGCGTAAAATTACCTTTGGAGAATCATTACTTTTAGTACTGATAAAATGTAAATTTAAATATAATAATATAAATAATATTCTTTAATAAATGTATCTAAAATGTTTAAGTTAATTCATCAATTCTGGACATCATATTTTCAATGTGCTAATTCTCAAGTTTTAAGAGTTTCTTATCACGATAATAAATGATAATAAAACCCATACTGATCTGACACACAGCTGTTACGTCTGCCTGCAGTTTTAAATAAATATTCAGAGTTCTTTACGTTTGAAAAATGTTTTTTTACAGTTTTGCGAATAAAAATTAAGAATATACGTCTACGCTATATTTTTGTAGGTACAGTTGCACTTGTAAAATAAATACGATAAATATTAAAAATATTAAAACCAAGGTGTGTATACTGTGTCTCAACCCATGTATTGGATGAATCATGAATATACACAATTACAACATATATACGCACGTGTAAATAGGCGGTAGTAAGCTTCTGTATCGCAAACTTCATCATTTTATAGGTGAAATCGTGTGTGCAATTGCAGGTAGGTATACTATGCCAGACAAGTCTTACACTTTTCAGTTCTGACAGAAACACACCATAATACCCGCGCGCTAGTCCATGTAACATATATTGTCCGACTGTCCGTGTAGGTACCTATATATTTTTGCATTATATGTGTAAAGCTATAATACATATTTATTACTACACGTACCTTATATAAATATATGATATATAATGTAAAATCTGTATATTACATACCTACTACAGTTGCAGACGAGTGTTATAGTCGTGGACTCGTGGCGGCTATCCAATTAATATCATTTAGAGGAGACCGGTTGTCGTAAAATTATCATCTTATATAGAGTTATTAATAAAACACCTATACATTATTTATGAGAGAAAAAAAACACAGTGTTAAAACTGGTTTATTTTTCACAGTTCGCTGATCAGAGACAGCGTATAATATGTCGTGTAAGTAGCAGCCATAGTAATATATTGTAATACTGCAGTATTAAACGTAATAATTTAAACGTTCGTTTTATTCTTGTGATAAATCGACATTTGTTAGTTTAACGTATGCAACAAAAACGTCAAACACATTTTTTTTGTTACTAGTCAAAATTACTATCACCGTGCTATTTACGGGAAAAAAATAATCCAAGGGAATGTATTCAATTCTTCATTGGGTACCATTATTTCACTAAAAAATTAATATTTTTAAATAAAACTAATAGTTTTACAACTCCGAAGTCTTGCTCTTTACGTTTTATAATATAACTTTAACTATACTTACCTATAACCTAAACCTAAACTATCTGCTACATTTTCATTTGGTGCAAACGTAACATAATAATATCAATCTTTTATTATTTAAAACATCTTAATATTGTGTATTTGTGTTTAAGGAGTAATAATTAATAATATAGTACTGAATGGTATTGTTGATAAACTATTATATTATCAAAGTTTCCAATTACCTACACTAAAAGGTATGTGATTTAAAATAATTAAAGGATTTAGGGTAAGCATAATATTATTTTAAAAAACATAATAATATTAACCATAACGATCTTAAAATTGATAAGTGTGAACTTTACAACAACCTAAGCAATCTGTAAATTGTGTATTGTTGTGTCACGGCCAGTGGCCTAGTGATTTTGATGACATTCAAGTAATATTTTTAATTTTAATAATAATATTTAATCTATATCAAAATGACACAATAAGGTTATCAGATGAGACTGATAAGTGAATAAAAATTATGAATAGTTTACAGTTGAAAAAAAAAATTAAATATGAACATCATAATATTGCACATCATATTATGCACTTAGGTTTCATCTATACTACTACATACTGGTATGTTAAATATTATGTTAAAACAATACTCAATAGTGAATAGGTACCTAAACTCATATTCATATATGATCGTAATATATGCATAGGTACTTATGAATTAATTAGTTAGGAGTCTTTATATTATGAATATTGTACTTGTAGCTAATAGATTGAATTTATTGTATACAAAAGACGATGACCTCGGGAAATTAGTGAACAGATTCGTAAAAAGGTTTTCCCCGAAAATCCAATTTGCTCACAAAAAAAAGATCTTTTGAATTTAACAGCGAAACCAGTTTTTTCGTATATACATACAACTATAACGAGAGATGACGTCCAACCTACACTTATGCGTTCCAAGTCTTTTTCCGATTCCCGCTACAACGTCTGTGACGAGCCTGTGATGGCGCCAGCTAACCATATTAAAAAGCCGAAATGCATTTCGAATAATTTTTTTTCTACCCCGTCGTACTGTGCTCATCGTGCTCCTTGCGTGGTCGTGCGATGATAACTAGTTTTTTAAATCGTTTCTGAATACATTCGTCGTTATAATATCCGTAATCACAATCGTCGTCGTAAAAAAACAATTTTTTTTTCATCCACCAGTCTCTTGCAGTATTATATTATAATATTTAAGCACGCAAATAATATTATAATATGTATATTACACACCTATTGTATATTAATAATGTATAATATGATATAGCTAATACATAATAAATTAGAATAAAATGCGTACTTATTCCATTATACTCCATTACGGTAGAAAACTTGTAGTAAGTCGAGTGCATAAATAACGTCGTCTTTTATTTTTTATGTATAAATATTTTTATTGTATACATAGTATATACTAAATGATACCGTGCTCTTCGTTGGCCGTAAAAAATGCCACCACCTTAATAATAACCACCATACAATTACTCAATTATAGTTACCTAAATTAATACAATATCGATAGCCATGTTCGTCATAGACAACATTTTCAAATTATTTTCTATTTTTTAAATTATTTTATTTTACTGGACAAATGGTGCCGCTAGCTTATTTTTGTGTTATATCTCAATATTTTTTGGACAAAAGTTGGGTCCATGCTTTAAACCTACTCCGTGAACTATTCAATCATTAAAAAAAAAACAGTGTGACTAATGACAATCAAATGAGTGGTTCCAGAGAACAAGGGTGACAACATTTCCATTTTCACATTCATATGATATACATACTTAGATAAATACCTAGATTATAATAGTAGCTTTGTAATGCAATGTGTTACATTGGCTACCACTTAAATAAACAAAAAAATACTATTTTTTTGTGGGCTGAAAAAAAATTTGTGAGCTACCCTGTAGTTACTTATGGAACTGAAATTAAGTCTTAAACTTATTCCACGATGTGCTCTTTCATTTCAAAAAAAAAAAAATGATGATGATAATCCGATGAGTACTTTTAGAGAACATGCTTGACAAAATTTCCAAATTCACATTTTATATTTATATAAAGATAGATTATAGATATATAGTTATATAGATGAATAGATATTGTATAGACGTATAGATGTACAGATATATAGATCTATTATAATAATATAAATTATTTTACTCTCCTGCATTGTATTGAAAAAAATCGTATCAGGTCAATAATTATATAATATGTAAACATATTTGGTTTACACTGGATAATACATATTACACATATACACACACACACACACACACACACACACACACACACAGTTAATTAGTTTTATATATTATATATATATACGTGTGCACTTTTTGTGCCTGCAGGAGTTCGATTGCAAAGGCCGAGTAGAACGGTGCGAGAGGAAGAAGGCCGCCACCAGGAGACCAGTGTGTGGCACCGACAACATTAGTTACCCCAGTAGATGTGCCTTGCTGAGGGTCCGATGCTTTAACGACTCGCTGTTGCGTGTCAAGCACCGGGGACGATGCAAAGGTAATTTCTAACATAGTTTAATGTAATAATAGTATAATGCATGCCTGATGTAACCGGCACTTGATGATGCTTTTCCCATATCGTAATAATGTATTTCATTGGAATATTTTAGTATAATAAATAATAATAATCGAGGGATCGATTTGTTGTGTGCCAAAAAATTGTGTCTTATTAAATGTCATATAAATAAACTATTCATACAATCATATATACGGTTCAATCAAATATCAATATCGATTGTAATTAATAGCATTGTACTAAAATTCTAAAGATTAATAAACGTACCAATAATGTAAGTAGGTTCTTGTTTTAATATTTGAAATATAATATTTGTGAATAAGAAGAGTATACCGAATAACCACAAAACGTTTGTTTAACATACATTTTTTAATTACCTATTTTATACTGTACACAATATTCGTATAAACATCAAAAAGTTTCATTGGTCGTTTTTAATGGTATACTACTAAAAAGTTGGAGGTAAAAAAGTCCTAGACAAAAAAGTTCGTGGTGAAAAAGTCCGGCACATATAATTAGGTAAAAGGATGAAGTGGTGCACAACCAAACTACCAATAAGTATTTTCATAAATTATAACTGAATGATTTACCTGATAAGACTAATTAATAAAAACAATCTTGTAGGTATCAATTTCGGCAAAATGTATCGGTTGAATATATTATTTTAAATATTGTTATACATGCATAATATATAAAGTATTTTTTTTTTAAATAGGTATATTATTTTTTTAACGATAGTTAATTAAACTGATAAGTCTTATTATTAGATAAACATTATAATAAAATTGTTAATTTTTTTTTAAAGATTGTTATACATATATTATATAAACACAGCCACACCGGAATTCTTTTAGTTAAGTTATAATAGTTAATACTTAATTAAACTGAGAAATCATTTTAATATATTATGTATAATATGATGGTAATGATACTAAATACATAATTATAATTATTGAATTTGTTTTTAAATTAATTATTTTAAATATTGTTATATATATTTTATACCGGACTTTGTACGCCTCGGACTTTTTTACCCGAACTAGGAATTTATTACCGCGATTCGTTTTTAATACATACCTTCACACTAAAAAAAAACCTAACTTTAAGTGCCTGTATATAGGTAGTAATCTGGTGTTACAGACACAAGTATTTAGCGTTAATAAATCGTATTAACCATTGATTGATTAATTGAATAATCATGTAATTTTTAAATTGGTGCCTTATAAATTATTCCACATAAAATATTTTCTTATATTTACGATGAGGTAATCTATTTTACAAGCCCTTTTACAATTATCTACCCAATCTCCAATCCTAATCCACTTGTCAAAAATCTTACATGAGAGTCATCAATCCTTACAACTCCTGGTAGTACTCTACTACTTCAAGAAGTCTAAATATAAATATTGTCGTAGTATGTAAGTATGCAAGTATGCTAGAAATTAGAATACAGATGCACAATACGTCAATACTAGATGTAAATACCAATATACTAAAAAAATTTATTTAATTTATAGGTTTCATGAATGGGGGTAGCTCCACTTTCCAACATCTGTCCTTGACTTGTTTATACAATATTATGTTTTAATATGTAATTCATCTTAAAATAAACTTATTAATATAATATATCCTGTATATCATATGTATCTAACCCGTATCCCATTTTCTTATTTGTACACTTATGTTCTTGTATATAGATTGTATATTTTTTGTAAAATGGTCCAAATACCTATACTAAGATAGTTATGTATTACTAGGACTAAGCACAGCAGAGTTACTTACCTGTTTTTTTATATGGATTAAGTAAACCGTTCTTAGCTCTTTTATATTAAAATATAAAAAAATTTAAGTTGCTAGGTACTATTTTACTCTAGAGTATAGATAAGATTATAGTTTTTATTGCATGCAGCGGCATTAGTTGTAAATAAGTAATATTATTACCTATATTTTACTTGCTTAATTATATCGCCATTATAATATGTAGGTAGTTAATTTTAGATTTAATCTGATGTTTTAGAACTCAACAAATCAAATTGTCACCAGATTAGATGTGTACCTATCAATACGAAAATTAAAATAAATTGTATGCATTAAAATGTAAAACTATTGATTGTATAATATAGAAAAGCAGCCCTGTTGGGTGGATCAAACGACTAAATCAGGTGATCCAACTAGAACACCAGACTCGTATATGCCCAGGTGCAAAGCGGACGGCACATACTTCCGGATTCAATGCCATAAAAAGGAAGGATATTGTTGGTGTGTAACACCTGCAGGAAAAGTGGTGTCCAACACCATTGTTCGAGGACAAAAGCCCAAGTGTGATAACGGCAGAGGTTAGTTTAAATTATATTTTAGGAATGCTTACGCCTGTTTTGTCAAACTCTATTATGTAGTATTGTGTTTTGATAGGCAAATGGCGTAGAGGTTCTTTGCAGAAAGGAGGTAATCCCAGAAGAGGTAAACAAATTTACAATACATAGTTAGAGTAGGTATAACTGTTTAAAATATTGAAGTAAAATATATAAGTATTACTATAATGTAACATATTTTATAAAATAATATCTTGAGTAATAATGTAAATTATAATATGACTAAATCGAAATAAAACATACAGAGTTAATAATTTTATAGATTCCGAGAGAAGCAATTTACAACGATGTGTTTTTTTTTTTATGTGTCGGTCATCACTTTTTGATCCAGTCAAAATGTTTCGATTTTCTAAATCAGTATCTTTTTTTATAGGAAAGCGAATTTAGTTCATAGTTAATTTGGGGGTCAAAAGTAAAATTTTCTAAGATGAAAGCAAGAAGAAAATTAAGAAGAAAAGGGGACTTTCACGCAAAATTGGTTTTTAACAAAATCATCAACAATTTTGTTTCATTATGGTTACATGAAAAACAAATAATCGCATAGACACTTTCAATGTCCACTAAAACCCTAAATGACCATTTCAAGATACATTTTTCAGATATGTTTCAGATTCTTTTTGAACAATTTTTAAATAGTTGAAATTTTTAAGTTTTTTTTTTTACATATCAAGAAAAATTTCCATAGTTCATAATATTTGAAAATTGAATACAAAGTTCCTCACAAGTTTTTAAAAGAGCAATTTAAAATATTAAAGATACATAAGTATGTCTTTTTTTATAAACATTTTAAGTTCAAATTTGAACGAAATTTGGTATTTAAATGAAAAATAACGTTGTTAGTTATTTCATTGGTATTCAAAAACATTATTCGGGGGCTCATAAAATTATAAATTGTACAATAGGTATGCTATAATATTTTCATAATAACTGTAATATCAAAAAACATATCCTGAAATATACTTGACATTCCTAGTGTCAGCCTCCTGTCCGTCTCCCCTTAGAATCGTTTTTAGTATAGGTATCATTGAATTCAAAATTAACACATCCATTGCGGTGACCCACTCGACACCTACAACGGAACAGTAAAACGAGCACTTACCTATTTTTCCCACGAATTGCATACCAAGTCAGGTAAATGCACCTACCTTTTTGAATGAATTGCGTCCGGTATGTAATTTGTGTCACTTTTTCACCTACAGTAAATATTCATTAGTAGATCCTAAAGTAACTCAAAAAAGATTGAAAAGTAAAATTTACATCTGATAAATACTTCATAATTGTATGTACCTACTCTATAAATCAAGTATAATATCATAATATTATTCACAATTCCATGTAAATTTTATCTTTATATATGACTACTGAGGACTACTTATAAATAACAGTCAATTAAAATGTATAAAATAAATACCGACACTAAGATGAAATCATATTATACTATAGTTACTTATTCTTTGGGAAGTTCGTATTCTCCATAAAATGTTTATTGAACACACAAACCGCAGCAGACCATACACAGTATAATATTTAAAATGTCAGCCTGCGAGCCTATAATATTACTAAGTAGGTATAGTTTGTTATATTATTTAACGAATCATGATTGTAGTAGTTTATTTTAGTGTTGGGGCATTGAGTATTACTGCATTAGTGATGCAGTAAGTTAAAGTCATTTTTGCAAAAAAATTTCATTTAAAATGTCATTGTATGAATAAAATAACATAAAAATATTTTCTAAAAGTTTCATAATAAACCGATTCATAACTAAATAATATTTTAAAATTACAATAAAATAATAAAATACGTTATTCCGTTAATATGTATAATATCGTCCAATATTGAACTTAAAATTAATGTAAAATATAACTGTGTTTATTTATTTTTAGATTTGATGGTAGTATAAACTATTTATGAGAATCCTTGTTCTATGTTTTCAATCCTTAGCTATATAATTTGAACATACTCGTATTTTTATAATTTTACTTTATTGATTTTTAAATTTATAAATTTACTTTAAAAATAAATGCTTACGTATTTCATATTGACATGTCATTTTTACGAATTTAACTGACTCTCAAGAGGTACTATATAATTTAGATATTTATAATCGTATAATTTATTTCAAAAATACGATATAAATTGTAAACATGTACGTTGAAAAAGACAGGGACATTATAATATTTTAATATAAGTTAGTAAAATGGAGTAAGGTGAACTGAGCTGACTGTGGACTTCATCAGCTCAATTTCAAGCTAAATATTCTAGGAAAATCATTTAATTGTCATAAAGTGTTGTGCATACCTACCTTATTCCCCTTTAAAAAATCACACGCTCTTGAACCTTCAATTCTTCATAAATGAGTTTTATATAATTTTACTAGCTGTATATATTACTATATTAGGTAACCATAAACCATTAAACTATGTATTTAATGTGAGGTAAGCATACACGATGAATATCGGTCTAGCGTCCAAAACCTCTGAAAGTGTCTAATTTAAGCACTCCAGACGTTCAATTATAGAGTATAGGTATTAGTCATTAGGTAGGTATACAATATACACATAATATAAACTTATCAATTATTAAAGACAAATGGTCACTGTGTTTTTAGAATGCAGTAAAAACGATAAAACAATATTTGTCAATAATTTAATCAGAATATTCAAAACGGAGTACAATCGAGAACAATACGCAGCACTATTAAATGGTAATGTAATCAAAGATATATTATGCCTATTATATTCCTTTTTTTGTAGATATATCATATGTATGCAAAATATTTTGATTTTGTTAGGGTTTTAACTATCAATATTTACTGATATTTTAGTTATTAGGTACCACATATCATTCAACTGAATACATGAAATATATAAATATACGTTGGTAAACTATTAGAGAGCAAATATGTATATGTACCCACGACCCTTCTATAAAGAACAATTTAAATAGAGAACAGCAAATATTTAGGTACTGCTCTCAATTCTCATTATGTCTATAACATTTTTGCTTACCAAAAAGTTTACTTCATTACTTGTTTGTGTTTATTGATGTATAATAATATTAAAACTAAATAGGAACCTACATATTATTTGTTAAGTATAACCACAAACTTAATAATTGCCTAAAATATCTGTGGGTTGATTTCATGAAAAATAAAATTAAAAAAATTTGGCATTCGTCAATTGCGGTATTCAAAATTAGATGTATTTTTTACTATGTAGGGATACTACCTATATATTCATCATATTATAATTAGAACCGATGCTTATATAACATGAAGTTTTATAAATATTGGGTAGGTAGTAGGTACTAGCAGTCCCACCCGACGTTGCCATTGTCCAAGATTTGTTTTTTTATATAAATTTATCTGTAAAAAATTTAGGTATATGCCATATTTCTATTTTCTACATAATATTATAATAGCAACATAATATGTAACCAATGTTAACAACACAACTTAACAAATAAAATATTTTTCTATTTTTCTTTAAAAATGTGTACCTATGTATAAGCTACCCTTTAGTTATCTTTAGGGGTTGATCAAATAACACGAAACACCCCCAAGTTTCTAACCTAACCTCAGTTCACGGGTAAATCGGCATCAGCGTAACTCACTTTGTGAACTAATTCAACTGAGATCAATATTTATCGTATATAATAATTATATTAAATATAGATGTGTTAACATTTATTTTTAATTTAAATTTTTTCGGTGGGTTTTTTTTCCATGGGCTTCTTTTTCGTGGGCATTTTTTCCGCGATTCGCTACAAACATACATAATATTCAACTCACATATTTGTTTTTAGACATAATTTCTTTATTCGAGGCCATAATATGTTGATGCATCCATTTATATACGAAATAACACTAAATTCTACTAATTTTTTCTAATATAGGTAATTTATTATCTATAAGATGTAACCAATGACGATCATTTATAAACAAAAAAATGATCCTGTAAAAATACGACCACTCGAAACCTGACATTTTTTCTTTATGTTTGGTTCCTAAGGGTCGTGAGTGATGTTAAACCTTTCTCAAGAATTTTTCAAATTCGACTGGTAGTCCTAAAGATTAGAACATCCAAACCAACTAACTCTTCAACTTTATAATTAGTATAGATAGATTAATTATTTTATTGAAAAACTACTTTTATTCCTATAAGTAATAATAGAATTGAAATAATGATCTATATTTATATAATATTATGCATGTAGGTGACCGTTCGCTGTTGGACCCAATCACGTTAGACAAACGAGTCACTGAATGGAAATTCAGTACATTGGATTCGGACAAAAACGGAAGCCTCACTAAAATAGAATACAGAGACCTAAAGAGACTGGTTCGCAAAGTGGTCAGACCTAAGAGATGCTCCAGGGCGTTTATCCGCACGTGTGACGCGGACCATAACAGCGTAGTGTCGAAAATCGAATGGACGAATTGTTTATCGATTGAAGGTAAGCCATTGTCGATGGACAACATGTCATATGTATTTATACAATTATACTTCTCATATTTGTTCCCTCAGTTAACTTTTTCTTATTGATATTTTTAACTATGAATTTTTATATTCATTCCTTCATTTAAAAAGACAAAAAATATATATTACGTAGCCATACGTATAAGTAGATACCAACTTATGTAGTCAATTTAGTACCTACTTAAGTAGAATTTTATTTATTTAAACTAAAATAAAAATGTTTAAATATTTGTTTTCGTGTTGATTGAAAATCTGAGATCGGATCCAATTCATATTTAAGTACCTACCCAGATATATAACTAATTAATGTTAATTAATAACTTAATTTTTAGAATAGTTTTATAAGTTTTAAGACTTTGGAACATTTGAAATAGTAAAATGCATGATATCCATTTACAATATTTAGTTATAATATATTAAAAAAATTAAAACTTACATATTCACCATGTATAATATAGGTGATAATTAAAAAATTAATTAACTTATTTTTAAGTGTAAGATTAAAGTTAATATTTAACTCCCTATTAACTTTTAACTTTTTGAGATAAATAGGTATACCCTTATAACAAAAAAATGATTTACTAATTGAGTTTAATTAGCTGAGAAATGAAAAATATACTAAAAATTGAGTCCTAGGATTATTTTGAACTAAGCATAAACCCAACTACTTGACTACGTGATATTGTTCATATAATTTTTATTATTTTAATAACACGAAATCTATCTACCTATAACCTATATCAGCTGTATAGTACAAGTTACCTGTTGGAACTTGAACTGTGTAAATATACTTATATATTATTATAACCTGACCTATACTATAATGTATATGTTATAATTATCAGAAACATTAGACATAAAGTCATCGACAACCCCGACTACGACGACCACCACCACCACCACCACTACAACTACCACCACGACGACCGAAATTCCACCGCCGGACGACTACGAAGACAAAGACGACGGAGGAATCGGTCTCGAGGAAGCCGATCCCGAAGACAGTAAGTACAAATACGATATACCTACCTGCCTAGTACCCACATACCTACATATTACTGTGTACATATTACATATGTATTTTCATATAAAATACGATGAGATAATAATAAAATACTTTTTGTATTCGCAGTACTACAAGAAAGCGTAGCTACGCTTAGTGGTACTCTTCCGGGTTTAATGGCCGAAGGCGACCAAGAGGAAGAGACCGAAGGTATTTTTGTTCATTGATATACAATTATTATTAAAACGGTAAAACGAAAAGTATATAACATATCTGCTATATTATTATACAATATACAGAATATGCCTTCTCTATACATAGATACTTACCTGGCTACCTACGTACAATATGATAAGTATTTAAATATAAATTATCAACAGTTGATCACATTTAACACAGTACTTTATAATATCAGCTATACTTTGTTGCCTGAGATTCCAGAATGGTCTGGGACCCACAAAAAATCGATTATTATATCATGTGAATACAATTCGAAAATATATTATCAAGAATAAGAGGAAATGAGGCTGTAGAGATCGAGATAAAATTAATAGCGCTAAGAGAGATTGGGAATCCGAGACTATCAAGCATTTTGTAATTTTTAAAGGTTTGATGTACTCAAGCGCTGTCGTAATCGCATAGCACTCTGCCGTAAAGCAAGTAGCTGATCTCCTCGCTACATCCACCAAATATAGTTTAAAACCTTCGGTTAGAAAAATCGAGTCTCCAGATCTTTTATAAATATTCTACAAACGAATTACAAACAATGAAACACGCTTGGCAGGATAGGTGGTCATCAGAAGTACCTGATTTTTCTAGGTGTTACAGATCCATAACTCCCACAACCCCACGGCATCCATAGACCATAGTTCGTTATGCAGTCCCTAGACAGGTCCCACATCGTCCGTTTTATCAGGCTCAGGTTTGGGCACAATTTACTCTCCCGAATGTCTTTCGCCTTGGCTTAAATGACTCTCTTCCGTGAACTCGTCATGCAGAGGAAACAATTTGCGACTTCTCTCACATTTTCGCCAATTGCTTATTGGTTAGGTCAAAAAGCATGAAAATGTAATACAATACTCTTGATAACTCTTTACAATAGCAGTTGAAAAATATTAAAAATACATAGGCACGATTTTTTTTATAAGCATTTAAAGTTCAAATTTTGACAATATATTTTATCAAGTTGAAAATTGAAAATGATTTTGTAGTTAAAAATGTATAAAATGTTCAATTTTTATAGCTAAGGATTGAAAATTAAAAACAAGGTTCCACTTAAGCAGTTTTTCCATAATTAATAAATCTAAAAAATATATGGATACAGTTATTTTTACAGACATTTTAAGTTCAAAGTTGGACAAAATTGCATATTTACACAAAGAATAACGGTTATCATTTTGTTGTAATTCGATTCCAAAACAGCCCAAGTTTACATAGGTATACTTAATACTTTTCTAGCATCACTGAAAATGTAAGAATAATATTTATTCAACTTACCAGCTACCATATTAATAATAAGTAGTAACGATATAAAATATCCTAGACTGACATACCGTCTTCGCTCAGAATCGTTTTTCGTATACAATGATATGATATCATTGAATTCAAATTTAATACCATCCATTACAGCGACCTCCTAGACACCTATTGCACAGCAGAGCGACATCCACCTACCCGTTTTTTTAATATTTATATTAGCACATTTTGTATTGGCACTTGGCAAATTTTTGTTTTTTGTCCGGGGGATTTTGTCCTGTCCGAGGGGAAACATCCGCTGTAACGGCGGCGAAAAAGCACGAGAGGAAACGTTCTAGATTCGCTATGAAGAATTTTGATTAGATTTTTAAGTATTTTAACGACTTAAGAATGATGGTAAAATCACAATTTGCACAATTATCGAGTTACCTTATTTCCCAAACACACATTAAATTAGGATATTAAAATAACTTTATGATAATAAAATAGGTAAGCTATAATAAGGAGTTTAATGTTATGCAATTATCTTCAGAATTCAGGTGGACAGTAGCCTAATGAGTTCATTGTTACTTTGCCTGTTAAAGCAACACGACTATATTAAAATGGCGCCCTTCGGCTGACGGCTCCAGTCGTGATACTCGAGGTCCTCCTTAATTTTTTGCCCGAAGGTAAATTGACCCATTCAGGAGGAAATGTCCAACGAACCTGTTGGGAAAGGCCCAGGGGGTGGGGGGAGTCCTATATTCAATAAATTCAAAGAACAGCTTAGTTAATATTATGCTTAGGTACATTAAGTGGTCCGCGAAAAACACTACGGGCCATGACTGCCGCGTCAGTGATAAGATTTTAGTATTATTATTTATTAGATATTACTAGTAAAGATGGTACCAATCTTAGTTGATGCATTTGACGGTACAGATGTACAATCAAACAATCACTAACAATAATATTAATATTGTTATTATTGTAAAATAATTGAATAATGTATACGTTAGGAATCTAACACCCGTGTAAAAACGATTCAACAGCCTTCCAAAATGTTTGGAAACATTTACTTAAGACGTATCATAGCTACCTTTTTTTTAAATTTTAATTAATCACGCTGTAGGCACTCACATTATTGCACACTACAGACATTGTTACGTTATCTACCTCAGCGCGACTAAGATAAATTTATTGCATGCAGGAAGCCTGGAGCCCTGGAAGCATACCATTAACATTAATGTATAAAGCAGGACTTACAGAAAGTCCACACAATACAATACCGCTGCTCTTTATCATGACTCATGAGTAAAAGCGGTGTATTCCTAACGCTAAATTTTGATCGTTGTCCCTAAAACATTTTATCTAAATAATGAGAATCTTCCCCCCCCCCATTCCTTTTCGCTCCCGATACAGCGGACACCTCCCCCCCTCGAACAGGACAAAATCCCCCCCGGACAAAAAACAAAAATTTGCCAAATGCCAATACAAAATTCACTAATATAAATATTAAAAATATTTAACACTATACAAGTACAAACTATAAATACTTATATAAATGTTATATAATTAAATAATACAAGTAAAACATAACGTAACTTATTTATTCTGATAATATAGCTCATAGAAATTAAAAAATTTGAAATATCATAATTTGAAAAACTTTCACATAATTTTTGCAACGGCTGTCTTCTTCATCTAAATTATTACGAAAAACTACTACTCTATAATTTAAAATGTCTATTGATACATTTGAGTTACTCATTTGTAGAGCTTCAATAAAAACGTGAATGATGGTAGTCAATAGATATGATGATTGTATACTTCAGGTGAAACCAAAGAACCTTTTTTCCAACCTATTATATTTATCAGTTTCATGTGTAAAAAAATATATATATTGATTGGGAGATGTCTCTATCCGGGG